ACTCGCACTGCGAAAAGCGAAAGAGTTGCCTCCTGTCCTAGCGAACCTAACCCGAGGTTTTGTTTTTCTAAATTACAATGAGCACATTTTGAAAAAAATCTTTTGGTTCAACTTACAAGTAGCCTAGAGAGAAACAAACTGGCGTGGCGTAGAAATTGGCGAAAATTTGAAAGAAAACCAGCACAACGTCATAGGATGAAAGACCTTTGAATCCAGCAGCGAAGTCGATGGACGACATATTGCTCGATTGCCCCTTAAATGTAGTGATAGAATTGGTATGAATCATTCCAGCAAGGAGTGGAACATGACGACCAACAAATAACGTACCGTATAAAAGAACACCGTCTGACAGAGAAAGGCAAATAAATATGGCGAACAGGACAATTTCCTGGCGTGAATTCCAATTTCAAATGAGATCAGAAGCAGAGGAAGTCTTTCAGGGCGAACTAAATAGCTCAGGTACAATGCACCAGCCACCGGTATCGAAGATAGCACAGTGATGAGAATTCCCCCGATAATGAAGTAGACAGTCATCTGCCTGAAAAGGAGGTACGAAGTGAGTTTGTTCATGGCTGCAGAGGAATATGTGGAAGAGTTAATTTGGAGCGTCCACAAGCATGCGTAACTGGATCAGCTCGGCTGCCATAGGAAATGCTGCAGACATGCCACGACTTTAGGGAAATCGCTGAATTTTATTTTCCGTTGGAGATCTACCGTAGGGAGACAACTAGGCGACGTCAAAGCACTCGCCACACTAACCACCTCTTCTAGATTCACATGTCCTCTGAAGGAGCACAGCGCTAATGTAATAAATGGCTGATTTTTACTTCAGGCGGCGATGTAGCCCTGCGGCCTCTTCCATGTTCCATGCAATTTTTGTTGGGCGAATAAGGCTAAAATGGAAAAGTGTCGTTCTTTGGCATCAGGTTGGGGCGACCGGCCGTTTGCCAACGAGCGTTTGTATTGGGGCAACTGAAAGAGGATGTTGAGCATTCTGAAAATCTAAAGGTATGGCAATGGGGTAGAGGCTTCGAAATTTTACAGCTATGTCTCGAGACTTTCAAATACCACTGCGACTTCTAACCACGGATGAGTGCGTGGTGCCTTCCAGAACAAGACTTACTACCAATCGATTCATATTTCAGAGTAAATAGACTCCTTCAGACTCCGATTTTTTCAGACTCGCAAACCCGTGTATTGTACGTAGCCATGTCATGGCAAATAAATATTACGTAGATAATAATAAACCTAATAATATATATAAAATAATAAACCTAAACCTAAACCTATGCAATGCCGATACTCAGAGGTTTTTATGTTGTCAAGTTCTGCTCTTCAATAAATTTTCTCGTCTCCTGGTAGTCTTCTGCCGTCATCTGTAATGTCTGCAACACCATCAGAATTAATTTAAAGAGGGTTTCAGTAGTGTGGAAATGAAGAAAAACTATGAGAAACGGCCCAGAACCCGAGAAATGGGACCTTTTCCGTTGATTTCCGCATTGATGCGACTCTCATCGGTGCTGCCCTCTTCAACGCTAACGCTCTCTCTGCTAAACGGCTAGAGGCTGCGGCGAGTGGTTAGCCAGTTGATGGGCGTGCCGCATCAGTGCCGCGGGAGGGCTCTGCTAGGGGCATATCCATCGTTTGCACATCATACATACATCTGTCCAAGCAAAGTGGCAGCAGTGGAATCATATTGTACTACTTGAATAGATACAAATAGAGCTCAACGATGATGAACAAGTGAGTACCCTCCGCTGTCATCCAAAAGTGTTTGTAAACATATGGTGGCAGAGACAGCGTAGATAAAAATCTTCGTTGTTCCGTATGTGTTTTTTAGACGTACACGTGCGTGCAAATAAGCCACAGACACAACTGACGATGCAAATGGCATCCTGAAACAACCACTTCTGTGAATTCGTTATAATTATCTTTCAAACGTTTTGATTATAACATAATTGTTTTATATTTATCAATTATTTATCAATGTAGAATGATAGAAACGAAAGAACTGATTATTCTGATGACAGAAGCATGAAGGTTTTAAGTGCTTTCATGCGCACTTTCTTTCAGTGAGGAAGGGGTTCAATTATTGCTCAATACCTTAGCTGATGAATCAGATGGAAAAGTACCATTTCGCGAATGCTGATAAGTTGAGATCCCTAGATATGTA